TTTACTGTGATTTTCAATCTCTCTTTTTGATAGTCTTATTTTAATCTGAGTGTTGAGTCTTTTCAAAATGGACAATGCTTGGCTCACGTTAGCTGATGAGGAGGAATGGCTCCTGATATATGAGGAGGAATGGCTCCTGTTTTGTAAAGAAGCCACGTTAGCTGATGAGGAGGAATGGCTCCTGATATATGAGGAGGAATGGCTCCTGTTTTGTAAAGAAGCCACGTTAGCTGATGAGGAGGAATGGCTCCTGATATATGAGGAGGAATGGCTCCTGTTTTGTAAAGAAGCCACGTTAGCTGATGAGGAGGAATGGCTCCTGATATATGAGGAGGAATGGCTCCTGTTTTGTAAAGAAGCCACGTTAGCTGATGAGGAGGAATGGCTCCTGATATATGAGGAGGAATGGCTCCTGTTTTGTAAAGAAGCCACGTTAGCTGATGAGGAGGAATGGCTCCTGATATATGAGGAGGAATGGCTCCTGTTTTGTAAAGAAGCCACGTTAGCTGATGAGGAGGAATGGCTCCTGATATATGAGGAGGAATGGCTCCTGTTTTGTAAAGAAGCCACGTTAGCTGATGAGGAGGAATGGCTCCTGATATATGAGGAGGAATGGCTCCTGTTTTGTAAAGAAGCCACGTTAGCTGATGAGGAGGAATGGCTCCTGATATATGAGGAGGAATGGCTCCTGATATATCAGGAGCCAAGCATTGTCCCTTCAAAATTGGTATGCATGATGTTTGTTTGGTGCCACTTAATTTATTATTTCTGAGTAGATATTTGCATTTTAGAAAAATTGTAAGGCTGAAAATAATTTTTTTTCATGTGATTGAAAAATTGGTTGGGAATGTCGGTAGTGGCGGGCAAAAAAACTGAGACCCTGAAAAAAAAATGTTGAGTGAATTGCTAGATTTGTATCACGATATGACGGATATGTGGGCGTTTTTATTGAAAAAGGAGAGAAGGTTCCCATGCTCAATTCAACGTGAACGAGGAGAACAATATTATTCCTATAAAATATAAATATATGGCGGAATTAACCAGACTAAATTCTGCTTGTGATAGTTACACCAACCCTGAAACGCTCCTTCTCTTTAGTATTTCAGTTTTTTTATTTGTTAGTTTAGGGGAATGGAGTAACTCACACACTCAATCCAACTTACACTGCATTGGTCTCTTTAGTATTTCAATTTAACATTATCAAAATTGTTCTTGGTTATCTGGAAGTTTTTTGCTTTGCTGAAAAACACTTCCAAAGACTATGAGAACGCTTATACAATCCCCATCAACAAAATTCATTGGCATAAATAAGATATTTGAGATCCACAGCGTTGGAAATAATGAATCTACACAAGTTAGTATGATGAAAAAATCTCCTCGCATAGACAAGTTGGTGTCAGGACTTATCATTAACTGATTTTTTTACCAGATTTTGTATCCTGCTGCACTGCACAGATGGAGGGAAAGTGATTGAGCTAAGCTAATAGGCAATAAGAATGACAGAAATATAGCCATTTTAGTAACAAGTATTTCAATTAAGCTATAACAAAACATCATAATCACAGAAAGATCCAAAGGGGACTCTATATCAAGCAGTCAAGAACTCAAGGTACTGTGGAAGCAAAGCATACCTCAAGACAAAATCACAAGACCGAGGTACATGGCTCCGCAGAGAAACAAGAAAGATATAAAACCCCTACAAGTAAAGCTCTTCAGAGTCAGAAAAAACCACACAAGTACAGCATAAGCGCATCCCTTGTAGTTTGTCCAGCAAAAAAAAAGGAAATGCAGAAAAAGCAAAGAAGGAAAGCTCTCAGGCATAAATCTTATTAACAATAAGAAGCTCACCAAATGACACCCCATCCACAACCAGTACAGCAAGGACACTCTTCTGCGAATTTTTCAGCATCACTAGAATGAACTCTACGGGATATAAGATCATCATAGATATCTGCATTATCACAATTAAACATTACAAGATAATACATATACAAATATAGACAGTTAACTTGAGGATCAAATAATTTGTTCCTTCCCATACCATAGACCGAAAACAAGCTGTTCATTACACCTGTATTCCACAAAATAGAACCAGGAGTTATTAATTAATCCCATCTTACGTGGGGAACCAAAACGACTAGTAGCCTACTTTAGTAAGCCACACGTGAAAAATGAAACTAGAAGAGTTGCAATTACCAGTGAACAGAATAATATACCGAAGTATACGAACTTTTGTTGTTTCTTGCAGAACCCAAATTATACCGAGGAAAAGAATGAATCCTGGTGGTCAACATGTAAACATGAAAACATCCAAATTTCATATTGCATCCTGTGCTAGTCATAGGAAGATGCGTTACTGGAAACTAGAATACATACCTATACAAAGTCCTCGAAGTGTCCACTGCACATTATCAAGCAGCACAAACACAACAGGATAAGGATTTTAGGCAGCCATTAAAGCAAGGTTAAATTCCTTGAAGACATATAAAAGCATAAGTTCTGGAATATAAGGAATGCAGAGGTTTCTATAATGTCATTGTGTGAGAAACTCATGCATTCAGTATGCATGAAATCTAATGTTAAACTGTTGCATGTACCCACTCCAAGGCTTATAGGTGCATTTTAGCATAGAAAGCAAGGTAACAGGCAAAATCAAGTAAAAGATATGTGAAATAGTACTTACATTTTTAGCTATAAACAGCACAACCAGTAGAGCAGCAATAAAACACCCAGCAGCTATTCGTGCAGTAAGAAGATTTGTAGATGCAAGAATCAATAGCATCCCCCAAAAGGATGAACCAAGATCTGGTGTGCAATGTAAATGGAAAAATTACATCAGAACTATTTGGACACAGCTCTCAAATGGAGGAGAGCTAAAGATGCAACTAACTGAAACATAAAATAGGTCAGAGATAAAGTGGAATTACATCCAGCTGGCAAAATCAACCAGTATACACCACCACGGGTTTGCGTGGTTCCACCCTCATCTGCATGAACTTGAATCCCTTCCACCTGCAAACTAATCTGTATCATTACTTGCCCCAAACAAATGAAAGACTTTCTAAACTTAGCCAATTACGAAGCTACCTAGGTCAAAATTTGACCTCACCAACATGATGAGTCAGAGAGAGAGAGCAGATACTCAAGAAATTACGAGTTTTCATTAGGATATCGTAGCAAGGCATTCTGCTGCAATGTATCAACATGAGCAATGCAAACTTAACAATGTACTTCCATTATAACTCTACTATTGAAGAAAATATATGAAATGGCATTAGTGCTGGAAGAAAATTGATTTTTTTCCTCACTTGAGTTATCAGTCACAAAAATTATACTACATAAAATTCATTAATTCAAAAACCCTAGAGCAAGGCAAGGCAGGCATTCTGTTGCAATTTATCAACACGAGCATTATGAAAATTTTATAGGAAAATATGAAAGAACAGAGCTTCTTACATGACCACATGTAAGTTTACAAGCAATAGCATGGCTCGCCTCGTGAAGAAACACAGTGACAAGCTTAAATGGTCTCAGCAGTATTGTCCTCCACAGCTACAAGAATCGAAGAATGATTTAGTATACATGACTTGTAAACAGTACAGCAGAAGGAGCATCAACACACTAACAAACGTCATAATTCGATAGAAAATATCCATGAAAACATCTTGCTTTCAAAATGATTGTAGTTAAGATGATTCTTCAAAACAACGTATCACCTATGTTGTTGTTTAGTTTTTGAATCTGTTTCAGCTTCTGCGCCATGGGACTACTTTTTGTTTTTATGTTTTTTGGGAACTGACAAGGGACTTCAATAAGCAAGTGAAATTGAAATATGGATTTCATTCATATTTAAAATATACAGGAAGAAAAGATGAATAATCCCGAAAATTACTTTAGAGTGAGAAATTCCAAAGATTCCAAGCTCCAAAATTTGTTAAGGACAAGAAACCAATCTCCCGTAGTATCAAACTGTCCTTCATTCTACAGCTTAAGAATAAATTTTACGAGGAAAAAATCAATCTCCATGCACCCCTGGTTTAATCAATGCAACACCACCCCTCTTGAAAAACAAAGCTCTACCCAGATCAAACCAATACTACAACTTGTCAAATACATCAAAACCCATGAACAGCACTGAACTATCTCTCTGCCCAGAATCAATCAAAACCCATGAACAGCACTGAACTATCTCTCTGCCCAGAATCAATGTAAGAGAGGTTCTTATTATGAGAGAGAGAGAGAGAGAGAGAGAGAGAGAGAGAGTTTAGTGCTTTACCGCAAGTATAACGACAGTGCAGACAGAAACGGTAATGAGAAAGACCACTTGCTCATGGTTGCAGCAGTTAGTGAGTTCCCAATTGGGCCTCATCTCTGATTCTCTTCTCTGCTTTGGTTACAGAGAGAGGTGGTCTCTCTCTCCGACGAAATCAAACAGATTGTGTAAGGTTGAGTTTAGATTCGGACCCAACAAATAAAAAATGGTCGAAGTTAGATTGACTGAGAGGACAGTAAGAAGAAAAATTAAGAAAGGAGTTTTTGGGCAGTCTCTCTCTCTCTCTCTCTCTCTCTCTTTTGTGTTTTGAGCTTTGAATTTGAAGTCAGAGTCCGACAGACCAAAACATAAGTTTGAAAACGTTTGAACTTGGTATTGGTAGACCAATCAGGAACCTACATGTCTAGAAAAGTAGTAAATCCCACGACTTTTGTCTGGCGGGATACACTGTTCCCAACACTACTTTCAGATCCCGTTATTTTAAAATCCTGCAGTTAAAAAGGCTTCTTTTTTCTTTTGTAGAAAAAGAAAAGAAGAAAAATTGCATCTTCCAGTAAAGATATGAATGTGTACGATGAACTGTCAGAACAGGCCTTGCTTCCAGCCTTCCATTCCACTAATAAAATAGATAGCTTCAGGCATAGAATGATAGTAAACGTGATTTCTTTCAACAACAAAAAAATATTGGGTTTGAGGATTTCGTTTTTTATTATGAAAGAAGAAACAAATTATATTATATTTGTATAAGCTTTACAATTACACAAAATTGCATCACATCATCACACCTTGACATTGTAGATGTAGTAGGTCATCTACCTTCATCAAAACAAGAATGAGACACTGAATTCCTAGAAAAATCCTCAACAAAACTAGTCTCCCCAGAAGCCTTAGGAGCACCGTTGAATCAAACTAGTAGCATGAGCTTTGGTAATAGCTGAAGCAGAGGTAGTTGTCTATCTTGAAGTCCAGGTTTGCCTGGTCTGGCCAAAGTAAATAAACCGCTCGAAAGCATGAGATGAACAGAGTTCATGTCTGGCCTATCTGCAACGCTTGCTTCACAACATAAAAGTAGTAGCTGAATGCACATTGGTACCTTTCACGGCCGTTTTTTTATGTTTCTGTGACAATCAAGAACTTGGAATCATTGAAGCAAACCGTACCTCAAGCCAAAACCACAAGAGCAAGGTACATGGATCCACAGAGAAAGAAGAAAGATATGAACGCCCTACAAATAAAGCTCTTCATAGTTAGAAAAAGAACAGAAGATGGATAAAAAGAAAAGAAACCAGGCCGAAGTTTTAATAAATGAGAAGAATCTCACCAAATGACACCCCATCCACAACCAGTGCAGCATGGACACTCTTCTGCAAATCTCTCTGCATCACTAGAATTTACTCTGCGTGATATAAGATCATCATAGATGTCTGCATCATTACATGGATACATTACAAGGCATATATGAGTACAACATACAGGCAGCTAAATTGAGTGTCAAATAATATTGTTTCTTCCTGAATAAATACCATAAACTGAAAACAAGCTGTTCATTACACCTGCAATCAGATAAAAAAAGAGAAAGCATTGATGGCTTTAGCTCATGATACTTGGAAAAAAGGAATTATAAGCTACTTTCGTAAGCAATAAAAAATAAAAATAGCAGGGCTGCAATTACCAGTAAACAGAATTATTTCCCTTAGTATACGAACTGGCGTTGTTTCTTGCAGATACCAAATTCCAGCAAATAAAATAATGAATCCTGGTGGCTCAAGAAGTAAACATAGAACATCCAAATGTCACATTGCATTCTGTGCTAGTAGTAATAGGAAGATGTTTGATTGGAATTACGGAATGCATACCTATACAAAGTCCTCGAAGTGTCCACTGTACATTATCAAGCAGTACAAATACAAAAGGATAAGGATTTAGTTAGTAAGTTTACATTCCTTTAAGGCATATAAACGAATCATTTCACGCTTTTCAGGAATCTAAGGGTTTCTAGATCTTCATCAATTACTTTCCGATTTAATTTTATGTGAAAAACTTATGCATTTAGTTTCCATGATATCTAACGTCAAAGTGTTTCCTGTCCCAAATGCTTCATAGGTGCATTATAGCATCCAAAAAGTAACTGTCAAAACCAAGTAGAAGATAGGTTCACTAATACTTACATTTTTAGCTAAAAAGAGTACAACAAATAGGGCAACGATGAAACAGCCAGCAGCTATTTGTGTAGCAAGATGTTTTGTGGATGCAAGAATCAATACCATCCCCCAAAAGGATGAACCAAGATCTGGCATGCCACAAAATGGAAAGATGATAAAGGTAACAATTATATCAGAAATTATTGGGATCCAACTGAGAGAATAAGTCATATTGAAGCCAAAATTTCTAAACCACGAATATGAAAAATCATGCATCATGCTAATAAGATATCACATCGAAGCATGGATTTTGAACACATTTGATTGTCCCAGATGGAGAAGAGCTACAGATGCAAATCAACTGGAAAATAAATACGGTTGAGGTTAAACGAAATTACATCCCGCTGGCAAAATTAGCCAGTATATGCCACCACGAGTTTGTGTGACTCCTCCTTCATCTGCATGAACTTTAATCCCTTCCACCTGCAAACTAATCTGTATCATTACCTGTCTTAAATAAACACGAACATTATGAAAAATTTATGCGTAAATTAAGAAAGAATTTCTCACCTTACCACATGTAAGCATACAAGCCAATGCATGGCTCACCTCATGAAGAAACACAGTTATAAGCTTAAATGGTGTCATCAGTACTGTCCTCCACAGCTACAAGAATTGAAGAATGATTTAGTATACAGGACTTGTAAAAAGTGCTTCACAAGAACGCAAGGAGTATTAACACGCCCGCAGACTTTATCATTAAATAGAAAATATCCACGAAAGTATTTTGCTTTCCAAGTGAATGAAGTTAAGATTTATTCTTTAGAACAATTAATGCATGACCACTCTTATGAGAGAGAGAGAGAGAGAGAGAGAGAGAGAGAGAGAGGTTACCACAAGTATAACGACAATGCAGACAGCAACAGAGATGAGGAAGGTCACTTGGTCGCGGTTGCAGCATCTTCTGAGTTGCCAATTTGGGCTCCAGTCAATCAAGTCCATCTCTTCTCTGTTTCTTTGAGACCCAATACTGCAAGAATTTTTCTTTTGGTAAGCAGCATAAATGGAGATGATCTTTTTGCTTCATCTTCATAATGCAAAACAGAGACCCAGACCCAGTTTACAGAGAGGAGAGAGAGATCGCTCTCCCTAACCAAAATAGAGGTATAAAGCCTGAGTTTGATTGATTGAGAAGAAGTGGAAAACAAATTTTTTTTTTTTTGGGCAGTTTCCATATGTTCGACGAAAAAACAAAGCTTTCAACTTGAAAGGTTCTGACTCAGACCAAAAGAGAAACGTTGAACTTGGACCAATCAGGCCCCGACTAAATTTAAATCATTAGACTTTTGTCCCTTGGGTACACTGTTCCCAACAAAATTGATTTTGTGTAGACTGGCAGTGGCGGTAACCCACATTTGGCCTTGTTTGTTCAGATTCAGGAAAGAAAAAAAAAAAACAAAGAGTTGAGAAATTTGCATGTTCCTCCAAACAATAGGGATTCAAGAAGTCTGTTTTGAAACGCAAAACAACATTTGTCTTCATAAAATTATACAAGAAAATTATAAATGTAAATACGCTGTGACACCTGCAAGTTGGATTTGAGCAGTTGATTGGTCGAGCCTAACAAGCCGAAAAGAGGGTGAGCTATGGAGGTTAGGCTCTTCAACCCCCACCCTCTGTGATTCTGATTCTGAACAAAGATGGCCTTCCAGGCTCCCCTGGGGATGAGCTCAGGGAGCTCAGGGCTTCTGGGATTTGTTAATTGAAATTGTTCTTCTTTGTAGTTCATGATCTCTGTTTGTTTGCTTTTCTATAAGGTTTGAGGTTTTTTCTTTTACGTGGTTGGTGTAAGCACACGTGCTTTTGTATTGAGCTCTGTTTTTGTTCTTGCCTAAAACAGAGGCTTCACCTTATAATAGTAAATTCACTTTGGTTTGAGGATTTCGTATCAAGTGGTGATTAGCAAGTCACATAATCTAGGAGCCATCTAACATATGATGAATTGTATCAGGCGATCACAGACCATTCTCAAGACGTAAACCACAATCAAGATATTTAGACAGCAATTATTCCGAAGAATGTGATTAACTTATTCTGATCCCCAGTGCATGAAATGACTGTATTACAAAAGAATAAAACAAATTATATTATGTTAGCCTAAGATTCATGACGGAAAAAAAAAAAAATACTTTACAGCACATAAATAGAGCTCGCAACACCTACAAATCACAAATGCAGGTTATGAGTTATCTACCTTCATCAATCGAAGAATGAGACATTGAATTTCTAGAATACTCCTCAACAACACTACTCCCCGCAGAGGCTTTGGTAGCACCTGTGTATCCACTACTAGCATTAGTATTGCTAAAAGCTGAAGTAGAGGTGGTTGTCCAACGTCCTCGACGGCCCTGAAGTCCAGGTTTACCTGGCCTTGGCAAAGTGAATGAATCACTCGAAAGCATGAGATGGATAGAGTTCATGTCAGGCCGGTCTGCAATGCTTGCTTGACAACATAGAAGTCCTAGCTGAACGCTCATTGCTGCCTCATCAGGATTGCACCTGGCCAGGGTTGGGTCAACTAGGTCCAGTGCCTTCCCTCCTTGATACAGCTTCCATGTCTGCACAGAAGAGCGATGTACGATTGTAAGGATTAAACGAAATGGCTGAGAGCACATCTTCTTCTATTCATTTCCATAAAACCACTGGTTGTATGCTAATCAACAATTCAGAGTAACTTTACTTGAACATCAATAACAATTAACCTCTGCATATGTGTAGGTAATTAAGTTCATACAGTATATTTCACAAGCAACCACTTTGATAAAGATTTAGGCATTCATTGCACTACTCTACTCTGCATTTAAAGTTGGTATGTGAAGCCCTGGTTCGGTTAGCCTAGTCTTATGAAACAAATTAGCCTTCTGGGAAATGTTACAAATTTCAAAATTAATTCCTAAACATTAGAATTTAAAAAAATGATGATTCGACTAACGGATTCTTCTGTTTAATTTTTCCCCTCATTTTATAGAGCTTCTGTTTTATTTCTTGCAGAAGTTGCATCAAAACCTCTCCGGGGAAGTAACTTACATAGCTCAAGAGGTCTGCCTTTTCTCTTTCAAGCCGCCCATCATGGTTCTTTCTCCCGCTGACAATCTCCAACACCAAGACTCCATAACTGAAAACATCTGTCTTCACGGACAAATAACCATGCATTGCATATTCAGGGGCCATATAACCACTGCAGTTAACAAAAGAATTTCTCAGTTTCATTTTTCATTGCTACTCACAGAATTCTCATATGAACCAGTTACAGCAAGGGACCAATAGGATGAAATGGTAAAAACTTCGTATGGCATAAAGGCAAAAAGAATTGTTGAAAAGAAACTACTCACTGAGTACCAGAAATCCTAAATGTATTTACATGAGTGTCCTCCCCAGGAAAGAGTCTTGCCAAGCCAAAATCCGAGATTTTTGGATGGAGTTTCTCATCCAGTAATATATTACTAGCTTTGATGTCCCTATGAATGATCCTTTCTGGGGCCTCTTCATGAAGGTAACGCAGACCTCTTGCCACACCCATAATTATCCGAAACCTCGTCGTCCAATCCAGGGTTCCAGATTTCTGTTTATCTGAAAAAAAATTTAATTTACCACTTATTATTACTAGTCCTACTACCTACTAGTTTAACCAAATGAAACAATCCATTCAATCTGATGCTGAATATATGTAAATTCCAATAGGGGAAGAGCAGCATACCAAAAATAAAGTAATCAAGGCTTTTGTTTGGGAGATACTCATAAACCAGCATCTTCTCAGGTCCTTCTACACAACACCCCAATAACATCACCAAATTCTTGTGCTGAACTCTCAGTAACAACTTCACCTCGTTAGTGAATTCTCTAGCTCCCTGTCTTGAATCCACAGAGAGCTTCTTTACAGCTATTTCTTGACCATTTGGCATCAGACCCTGCACACAATTGGGAAAAAAATATTGACTAATCCGAAGAAAATAGAACAAAGTATTAGTAAAGCTCACAACTTTAGTTACCAAAGAAAAAAAAAATTCAAAACTTTACTCTCATACCATAACCATCTGAAGAACAGACGGCAGTGTTCCTCCAATAAATGATGAATGCAAACAGAAAAACAGAAGAAAAAAATAACAAAAATGAAAATAAAATTCTCTCGGGTCGGATGCAGTGAGAACTGAATCAATCTGAGAAGTCAGTGGTCACGAACGGAACCAACGGTCCCAATGCCGCGACATCCAATTAATCCGCAATTACAGCAAATTACAGGGCTAATCTGGGGAGTTGCGCTTCCGAGATTACCCCTGACTGAGCTAGTTATTTACGAGACCGTACCTTGTAAACGGGACCAAAGCCTCCGTGACCGAGTTTGTTGAGGTCGGAGAAGAAACTGGTGGCGATTTGCAGAGCGTGGAGGTCAAAGAAGAGGTCAAACGAATCCAAGGCATCGTCGGCGTGGTCGGAGCGAGCTGAGCCGGCGCCTCTGCCGGCTTTCAGCCTCTCGAAGCAGGCACAGAAACCGGAGCAAAATCCCATGAACGCATAAAACCGGCCGCAAGAAGTACTAACAGTAGGCTCGGCTGGTCTCTCAAGTGCTGCTTCAATCGATTGCAGCAACCACCATACAACGTACGTCGTACGGTTACGAAGGAGCCGGCGATGACTGTCTTTCAATAAGTTGTAGCATTATTTGGCATCTTGTGTCCATGTCACTTGGTTGTGTTGTGAACTTGTGATTGTGAACTTGAACCAATAATACTTTCTGCGTAATTATACAAATAATACTTTCTGCGTCATTATACGAATAAAAATTCAAACTTCAAATCAAACTATCTAATTCATTCACATTAAATTGTTTAAACTTTTCAAGTATGAGTATGGATTTGTAGGTTGTTGCTTTGTCTTCTTGACAATGACCAATTATTAGTACACAATTCAGGTCAAGGACACGTATTAATATAAAATACTGTAGGTCAACGGGTCAACTAATCTTAAGTCCTCCTGTTGAATATTTTTATAAAAAAATACAGGAAAACACGTAGGGCTAATTTGGTGATTTAGTCATTTGGAAAGGATAGTAGGTAGTAATAATAAACAACCAACTCTGTTGACATCAGGAAATTGGTGACTACGTGTTCCTGTCAGCCTGTCAGGTTATGATGATATATACAACTTACAAACATAAAGTATTTGCATATCATTTTCTATTGTCAGTAAAAATCTGCGTGATTTTTATTAGTAAAATGTCATCAGGATTTGAATATGTAAATTAAGGTCAATTTTCATTAAATTGATCCCATGATATATACAACTTACAAACATAAAGTATTTGCATATCATTTTCTATTGTCAGTAAAAATCTGCGTGATTTTTATTAGTACAATGTCATCGGGATTTGAATATGTAAATTAAGGTCAATTTTTATTAAATTGATCCCGTTGATGAGTAGTTTTTCTTTTATTGGTTTATTAAAAATTCTTCACGCGTTTAATAATTGTCCAAGCAATCAGAGTTTACTTCTTTTTTCTTCTTTTGGTTTAATGAGATAGTTGTACGTTAAAATGTTTGACTTATGATACAAAATAAGTTTCCATAAAATAATAAAACACACACACAATAAGTTTAGGCCGTAACGAAATGTCAAAGGATTATAATATCCTGGTTTTATTTGTGTTGGTGGCCTCTCAATGTCATTGTCACAATTACTTATTGACCCAAAAAAAGGGATGTCATTTACACTTTTTTAAGGCTCAGCTTGGACTAATTCAAGAGTTGGACGATTCGTAAAGCCAAAAACCAAATTGAATACGACTTTATATAATAACCACCACAGAACAGATGGCAGACAAACATGACATGTCATATTGAAAATCCACGTGGCATTGCGAACGTGGTTTTGAGACAATTATTGCAAAAAGAGAATAAAGGGTTGGCCCAACCCATTATTTCGCAATTGCAAGTTGGAATTCGATATTGGGCTTTTTGGGTTAGGAACCGGTTCCACTCCCAACACGGGCCTTTTCATCAGCGTGATCCGATCCGATCCGAGTCCATGCCCAAAAAGTATAAATCCAAGTTTAATTTCACACTTCACCACATCATAAGTTTGACTTGTAATTGAATTTTCCACTATTTTACTCTTTGCAGGTAGCCAAAAAGGCCCCTCATTTGTTTGTCTTTCCATATTTGCCCCTGCGAGATAGTTTGAATTACCTCCTTGTTTGCACCGCACCCTTGTCTCCCTCTTTTCTCTGAGCACAAGCCGCCATTGACGACCCTCACCTGAGCTTTCATGCTCAGAAGCAGGCATCAGAGCGTGGCCCTAGTTACTCGATCCTAGAAAATGTTGTTTGTATAGAAACAACGGACATCAAAAGAAAAATTGCTTAAAGAATTTCAAGATGAGGTCGTCTTGTTCAGATAGAATTAACATTGCCGCGAGCGCTCAGAAACTCGATGTCGACAATCGGATTCCTCTGCGTATATACTTTCGGATCGCTAATAATATCCTCAAACAGGTTTCACTTCACTCTCTTCATGATTTAGTAGCAATTTTAAATTCCTATTAATTTTGAATTAATTTAGGTTGCGAATTTTGAATTTAGTTTGTTAATCAAATTATTTTGGAAGTGGAACCTTAATTGTTGATGCTCTGTTTGTGCGCGCCTGCTCGCGCGTTTTCTGTTCTTATTTCTTTTGGATTATTTTAGATATGAGAATTATAAGCAAAATGAATTTCAGGTAGCTCAAATCTATTGTATAGATTAAAACGGTTTATTGAGGTGCCAAAAATTTAAATTGGTAGCTTGCTGTTGATAGGACCCGAAGGATCACTGGAATTA